TGTGTGTGTGTGTGTGTGTGTGTGTGTGTGTGTGTGTGTGTGTGTGTGCAGGAGCATGCACCCATGCATATGTGGAGGCCTCAGGGAGACATCAAATGTCCTGTTCTATCCCTCTGTTGCATTCTCCAAGCACTAGCTTGGTGGCCAGCAAGTACCAGCAAGTCTCTGTCTCTGCCTCCCATAGGGCTGGGGTTATATGGGAGCTGGGGATTTGAACTCGGATCTTCATGCTTGTACAGCAAGTGCTCTTACCCACTGGGCCGTCTCCCCAGCTCCTGCACCCCTATTCCCGAAGCTTTTTTTCTCACGTATACTGCACAACTTGCAAGGGACAGCAGGGGTCCTGTTCGTTATGGGTGTCAAGGGCCCCAGCCAAACAGTGTTGCAACATACATCTGAAGCAGCAAGGGGGTACAGCAAGCTGCCCTGGCTGATGGGCTCCTGCCCTCAGCTAACGCGTCATTTCTGCGCACCAGCGCCAGTCACACACCGGCTAGCTTCAAGGAGGACCACCAGGGGGCGCACTTTCCACGTGCCAATAGAAAACAGAACTGTGTGCGCAACCTCAGTGGTAGCCAGGACCCAGGAAGCCTGGAGATGCAGAGCACCACTGATCTGAGAGGCAGACGAGGACCCAGGGTCTATTCTAGCCGAGTGTGGCAGTCTGCCAGCCTTGGGGAGATGACTTGCTTTTCCCAGGCAGCGCTGTAAGTGGATTGATGAAACAGTGCCTGCCCCAGCGGGTAACAGAGGGAGGCGTAGAAGGTTTTCCAGTGTCCCGCACATCGAAGGGATCATGGAATGTAGCTATTACCATTTAGGCCATTCTTTCGATGCCCCCTTTCTGTAGATCAGCTGAATTTTCTGTTTCTGTTTATCTGTTTGTTTGTGTTTTTTGTTTTTTCTTTTGAGACAGGGTCTCAGTGTGTAACTTAGGATGGTCTCGAACTCTCAATCCCTTGGCCTCAGACTCTAAAGCTCGGGGATTGCAGGCATCTGCTGTGGTGCCAGGCAGGCGGAGGGTCTCTCATCCTCCAGCCTCTCACCAGTTTCAAGTTTGTTAGCGGATAGGCTAAGAGCAACTAGGACTTGGAAGTGTGCTCTGGGCCCAGGCAAGGGCGCGGGGGCACCGACGGAAGACGCTGTGCCTGTGAGCCCGTGAGTCTCATGAGCAATGTCGAGCTCAGGGCTGCCACTGTGCATAGAGAGTACCCAACAGGCAGGTCCTCACAGGTGTGGAGGCGGCTGGGCCTCTGCTCACGTGCCCTGCGCTCTCCACAGGAGTTTCTCTACCGGGCAGCAGATGGGATCCCCCACTGGATTGGCCTCACCCAGGCAGGGAGTGAAGGGGACTGGCACTGGGTGGATGAGACAGCATTCAACAAGGAGCAAAGTGGGAGGTGAGTGAGCCCGCTACGCCCTCCTCCCCAGCCTGGCCTGCTTGGTGGTGAGTCCCCATGATCGGAGGGCTGTGCTCCACCCTTTTCCTGGCCGGTGGCAGCACCGAGCGGAGACACAGCTCACTGTTGCTGCTCATTGGCTACCTGGGGCCAGTTAGGGACCTCGGAGTCCTACGGGGCCTGACCTTCTGCCCAGCTGAGGTGGGGATTGTGCAGTAGGGACCTGTGTGAGTCTTGAGAGAAGGAGGCTAGGCGCCATAGCAAGAGGCTGAGAGTGAAAGATCTACTGATCTTCTTAGGTTTGGAGCAAAACCTTGCAGCGTCATCACCAAGGGTGAAAACTGGGATTGGAATAACTCATCAAATTATTTATTTATTTTATTGTGTGTGCACATGATGTCCGTGTGAGGGCATGTGTCACAGGTGTGTAGAGGTCAGAGGACAAACTGTCCCAGGCTGTTCTTTCCCACCGTGTGGATCTTGGGGATTAGCCCCAGGTCAGCAGGCTTGGGGGCAGTTGCCCTAACCACTGAGCCATCTTCTGGTCTCTTTAATAACTGATTTTAAAGAAGCATCTCATGTATCCCAGGAGGGCTTGGAACTTGCTGTGTAGCCTAGGTCGACCTCGAACTTCTGACCCTTTTGCCTCACCTCCAGAGTGCCACCATGCTCCGTGTATTTGGGTCTGTAGTTTGGACTCAGGGCTCTCTCCGCGCTGCGCAAGCCTTCTGCAGGTGCATAGAGTGCCTCATTTTCTCACTTTCACAGGTTCTGGATTCCAGGTGAGCCCAACAACACGGGGAACAACGAACACTGTGCCAACATCAGGGTGTACGCCCTCCAGTCCTGGAATGATGCTTCCTGTGACAATAAGTTTCTTTTCATCTGTAAGCAGCCCCAAATCTAAGCAGTCCCGTGACAGTCGGCCTGAGCTCAGCATTTGCCTGCAACAGCGACCCAGCTTGAAGAGACGCCTCTCCCATGATGCTCCATGATTGCTCTGTGCCTTAAGTTTTTCTTGCTTGAAAATTGTCCCAAACACATCCTGGAGTCCATACATCTTGGCTGGGAATTCTCTGCCCCCAGAGGACCTTGTAGGCACTTGGGATAAATGGGTGAATGTAGAAGCCCCTGCTGCCCAGGTGAGGCAGGTCGGTGCCCGAACATTTGGTTTGGATTTTCCTGATCCTTCTAAGAAGCCTTGGCTGACCATATGAAAGCTACACTCAAGCATGACCAGTGTTTGAGGAGACGGACATGCGCAATTTAAACACATCCAATTTATACATGCACGGAACTCCACATGGCGCTCTCAAATATGAAAATATTTATGTGTCTATTGCAAATCGATGTAAAGACTCACCATCTTTCAACATGTGTGTGTATTGGTGCCCACCGAGTGCAGAAGAGAGTGTCCAGCCCCCTAGAATTAGAGGTACAGATGTTTCTGAACAAGCTGATATGAGTGCGGACACCCAGACTCTGGTCTTCTGATAGCGAAGTAAGTGCTCTTAACTGCAGAGCCATCTCTTCAGCCCTGCAGATCTGAATCGAAGAACAGAATATAGAGGGATGCGCAGGAAGGTTGAGGTGTGCCTCGGCGGGGGCTCACCTGGAACTGGACCACAGAGCGGGTTGGTGCACTGGGATCCCAGCCCTGAGGAGGTGGAGGTGGGAGAGAATCAGAGGTTCAAGGTCATAGTGAGCTTGAGGCCTGGCATGCATGGTTCTGTTTGGAGAGAGGAGGCCGTTTGCCTCAGGCTAACTAAGCTGCTCTTTCGGTGTCTCTCTAGGTGAGACCACAGTTCCCATATGTCTGCTCAGGAGCCCGGGGGGAGCTCTGGGCGTTTCCCACGGGAATAGCTGTCCTTGGTCACCCTGGCCACGCCGTGTTCTGTCACCTCTGCTCTCCCCGCTCTCTAGCGCTAATCCAGTGCCGGTTGGGGCTGGTGGGTCCTGTCTTCTCTTGAGCTGCCTGCTCAGCGCTCCTCCTTCCTGCTGCACGTCACCACATGCCCAGTCCTGCACCCACCCCCGCATCTGGGGCTCCTGCCTCTCCTCTCCACACTGTTTTCTCTTTTGCTGTGCCCTGTGCAGCCAAACCCTTCTACTTTAAACACCTCTTAACTCGAAACATCCCTTGGAGCACATGTTTTTGTTCCCAGTGGCCACTGTGAACCTAAAAGAACATGCAATCTTGGGGTACACTCAGGGCCGGTAAAAAATCAAGAATAAGGGCAGCCTGGCCCTGGAAGTGCCAATCACCATGGTCAGGGCTTATCTTCAGTTTCTATGTGAGTTAACAATGGTAGGGTTTGAAAAGTCTCTTCTGGGAGCTGCTGGGTAGCCAGCCTTCTGTGCTCCAGCCCTGGTCCCAGGGGGACCTTTCCCGAGGTCCTCATTCTTGCCAGAGGCTGGGTGTCCAGATACAAGCCAGAAAATGTTCAGAGACCAAGGCTTGAAAACAGTGGTTACCAACAGGGGGCAGCAAAGAGAATGCAGGAGCTGTGAACTGGCCTTCCTCACACCTTCTCAGGACACTCCCTTTGGATAAGGGAGAAGAGGGCGAGCTTTCTATGCAGTCCTAGTGGCCTGGAGCTCACTATGCAGATCAGGCTGGCCTTGGACTCTCAAAAGTCAGCTGGTCTCTGCTTCGGCCTCTCCAGCACTGGGAAAAAAGCATGCGCAACCACACCAGTCTAGGCCTGTGCTTCGGGTCAGGGCATCTTTGAGTCTCCCAGAACAACAGAGACTCAATCTGAGGTCCTTTGTTTTTGCCAGTAGGCCCCACCTGCTGAAAGGATCCCCACCAAGCTGGGCACCCCACCTTGGGACCAGCTTACTTTCATTCAGTTGCTAAAGAAACTTCATTTTGTGTTAGGCATCCAGCTTGGCATGTAATACCATTTTATTCCTGACTCAAATTCCTGGAAGATAAGTTCCCTGCAACCCTGACTCCTTCACCCCTACCCAGATATGTACAGAGGTGACTTGACCATCTGCTTATTATGGTATGACTAACTGCTAGATTTTGGCTTTTGTAAGCTGCTTGAACAGATATTCAAGGACTGTTTTGAGGTCCCCTTGGCCACTTAGTGTTGGCCAAGCAGAACAACATCTCTTCAGCTTCTGCAACTTGCTTGTGCAGACACTCAAGGACTTCTTGTGGATTTTGCCTTCGAAAGCCTTTCCTTCACCTGCCTCTTATTTGCACTAGAGACTGCGGCCCTGCTAATAGTTATAAATTTGGCTAATCATAATCTGAATTGAGCCTGGTCTTTTCCCCATGATCTCAAACTCCATAACATCAACTAATGGGTTTCCCTTCCTTGCTAGCCTGGGAAATCCTTCAGCAGGCCAAGCTCATCCTGCAGGTGTCACTCTCTCCTCCCTGTGATTCTACCTGAACCCTCCCAGCCTTGCTGATGGCTGTGCTCCTAGGTGTCGTGCGCGCCGTGGGGCTCTGCAGACGTGTCCCCCCCCCCCCGGAATGTTAGTATGCATGACTGCTAAGTCTCTGATGGTCCTGTCTCTACTGTGTGGGTGTGGTTTCCAGTGAACACATCCCACACCAGGGTGAGGAGGAGACCAACAAGGCTGCTCCTGCTGAGAAGAGGTGAGCTGGAGGAATCAGAAAATTTCTCTGGGAAAAGAACCAGAAAATACCAATGGGATGCGCAAAGCAACTAACAAGGGGAGGAAGGTGTGTAGGATGGTCTTGAATTAGAGCAAGGCTAGGGACATCATGGAGACTCAAGAACAGAACCGTACAGCCTTGAGTCCTCACAACACCAGAGGGAAGGGCTTTCTCTTCCAAGAGTTCTAATGAAAACCCGGGCTGAGTCACATGCTGGTCCCTAAAGCCAGGAAGAAGTCAGGGCAAGCAGTGCTATGAGTCAGGCCAGTTCTCAATCCGGGTGCCGGGTCTTGATCCAGCCTTGCTCATGCAGGCTGCACCGATGGTGAGGGAAGGATGTTGCCAAGACAGATTTCAAGCCTGTGAACCTGAAGCTGGGAGCCATGCCAGCCTGCACAGGCCCCTGTGGGCACCTTGCTTGGGACTTTGTCTTTCATCAGCTGTTGGCCAAGCCACCGTTGGCCAACCCACCATTTCTGAAGTATTGGTGTTGGTATTGTCAGTGTTCAGAGCTGCTCTTCTACAGCTGCTGAACTCACCCATTTCTGAGACCTCCATGGTAGAATACTCACTCCCTATGCACAGGTCCTGTGTTCAGTCTCCAGCCCTGCTGACAGACAGACACACAAAGGAATAAACTGGAAAAGCTGTTCCAGGATCTTTAAGCCCAGGGAACAGAAACCTGTAGTGGGAACAGAAAAACAAACATGGCTGATGCTCCTTACACTGAGAGCAGAGAAACCTCTTGGCAAGGAGAGAGCAGCATCCTGGATTCCTTGCCTGCAGATGGTGTTCCTGGGGCGAGGGGAGAGAGCAGGGGAAGTGAGCCAGCAGAAGATACATGATGGTTGTGCCTGTCTGCTGATGCCACTCTCCTGCCCAGACTGTCCTCTGCTGAGCAAGGGATCCCCGAAGTTCTGCTTTCCGGGTCCCCCCAGCTTCTCTGGATGTCAGGGGAAATAGTTCCTGAGTTGGTCCAGCTTGACCCCTCTTGTGTGTGGGGAAATGGAAACCAAGAGCAACTCTTTCCTCTCTCTGTGATGCCAGGCAGGACATTGCCTGTGACTCCAACCCCACAGAGAGGGGCTTGGCAGGCCCCTGCTGGTTCAGGCAGAGCTTCCGAATGACCTAGAAGGGGTGCCTTTTCCTATGCACCAGCCCAGCATTCAACAGACAGATCAAAGGTCAACAGCCAGTGGCTTTGGGCTTTGTATCCTGTGTGCTCTGCTCTTCCATGCGTAGTCTCTCTTCCTCTCTCTCTCTCTCTCTCTCTCTCTCTCTCTCTCATGCACACACACATGCTCACACACAAGAGTCGGGCAAAGGCCACCTATTCCCTCTCTACCCAACAGACCCACCTCCACAGGCTGATTTCTCATTGATTGGACAGCAGCACCATGACAGCTTCTTATTTGCCCAACAGGGCCCCTGCTGACCCCTGTCAGAGTGGCTTCTCTGATACCGGACAGTCAGTGCCCGTGGGCCTGTGGGAGGGTGGCTCCAAGATTTGGGGAAAAGATGGAAGTTATATCTAGGAACTAAAATGAAAACAAGAACTCTCACATAGTACGCATGGGACAAGGCATCTGCCAGCTTGCCACAGACAGCTCCTGAGGCGGGTATGATTGGGCTGATCACCAGCAGCAGGATTGGATTGCAAGCCTCTGAAACAGGGGCAGCGGAGCATGGGGTCAGAATCTTCAGGCTTCACTTTGGGGAGGTGTTTGGCTATCAAGGGCACAGTTAGGTCTGCTGCTGGTCCCCCGGGAGGGGACACTACCCGCAGGACGCCATATACTGTTTGTCCCCTGGGAGGCTTTATTTCCCTTCTCATCCTATGCCCAATGAGCAACCGGAAGCCCCAAAGCAGCATTTGTTTTCATTTCTTTATTTTGGGCTTTTGAGACAGGGTCTCACTCTGTAGCCCAGGTTAGCCTCAAACTCACTATATAGTCCAGGTTGGTCTCAAGCTTGGTAATCTTCCTGCCTCACCCTCCTGAATTACAGACATATGTTTTCGTGTGTCTTTGTTACTTTTCCAATCACAAATGGTCTTCCTGGAAGCGGTGGCCGGCCATCCTGGCGAGAACCTGACTCATCCCACCGACATGGACTCAGATGTGCGAGAGAAAGTTCATTAGGAATAACCAGGGCACTCCAGTCATACCTCAGGTCCTTTCTGTGACCTGTCTGTAACGTCCTGAAGTCCGGAGGGGGCAGCCACCCGCCTCTAGCCTCCCCTGTGGATCCTCTCCTGCCTCATGCGCTGTTTTTGGTTTTGTCTGTTGACGCAGGGCCTTACTATGTGGCCCTGGCTGCCCTAGAACTCACCACGTGGACCAGGTTAGTCTCAGACTCATAGAGATCCACTTGTTTCTGCCTCCCAAGGGCTGGGATTACAGGCATGGGCCACCTTGAGCCTGTTGGAAATCAGAGGTCAGTATTGGATGTTTCCCTTATCTCTTTCCACCTTTATTGAGAACTAATTTCTTGCTGAACCCATCCCTCACCGATTCAGCTGGGCAGCCTGGCTAGAAAGCTCTAAGGATCTTCCCTCCTCTGAGTCCCCAGCTCTGTGACTACAGACATGAGCCCAGTTTTTGATGTGGGAGCTGGGGATACGAACTCTGGTCTTCATGCTTGTGCCATAAGCACCTCATTGACTAAGCCATCTCCTCAGCCCCACGATGCTTCTTCTGTAAAGCTGGCAATCTCCTTTCTAGGTGTGGGCCTCGGACCCTGTGGAAGGGCATTGGGTAGTATGTGACCCTGAGGCAGAGGCTGCTGTGTAGGGCACCGAGGGAGGAGGGGCAGAAGGGAAGAGGGCTGTTGGGCTCTTGGCCTTTGGAACGCCAAGAGGAGGGGCCGGTGGTGACCCGGGTTTCTACAGAGGCAGAGGGAGGAGGCAGGGCTGGGAAGTGGTCGTGACCTCAGGAGAACATAAATCAGTGTCTCCCTTCCCACTGCTGCGGGCTCGCAGGACAGACCTTTGGGAACTGGTGGCAGCCAGCAGCGCAGGATGAAGGAGGCGGAGGTGAAGAGAGATGTGGCTAGATTCTGCACAGATGACCAGTGTGTCTCCCTACAGGCCCAAGGTGAGAATATTTAGGGTTCTTGCCTATGCTCTGTCCTCTGAGCCCATCCTTGCCAGCCCAGCCATTCACCTCATCCCTGCCTTGGCTCCCTCGTAAATATGTCCAGGCAGAAGAAATGGGAGGACCAGAGGACCAGAACTCTGAGCACCCCGGCTCTATATGGAAACTCCTAGAGCCCTTCACTGGGTACAGTAATCTGAGGGGAGAAAAAGGATGTGCTTTGAGTTCAGATGGGCCTGATTTTGAACCCCAGCTTTGCAATCCACCCAGCTCCTGTATCCTCTGGGGCTGGTGGTCTCTGAGATTATTAATGGACCAACTCCCAGAAGGCTCAGGGCACCCATGACAACATTTCAAGCTCTGTGGAAGGCTCAAGAAACAAAACCATTCCCCCAGGGGGCAGTAATGCTGGATTTGGTCAGACTTGTTAACAAGACTGGGCCCCTGCTGTGTGCCTCTTTTTCACCTCTCTCCCGCCTTCACTCTCTTCTTTCTTCCTGATCACATTTCTGTAGCCATACTCTCTGGGGCAGGTTTTGCGCCTTCGTGGGTTGTGAGCCCTTGATCTTCGGCGTTGTCTTGCCCACACCAAATGCTACCTTTTCCTGCCTGATACTCCTTGTAAGAGGTGTCGCGCTGTTCTCATCTCTAGTGGACAGGCCAAGGGACTGTGCCAGGAGTCCTAGCCAGGCCTAGCCCTCCCAGCACTCTCACACCAGACTCTGGCTCCTCCCTGCAGGGCTAGACCTCCAGCCAGCTGCTCCCGTGCCTCCCGGGATACTGAGGCATGTCCAGACCATCCTGGCACTAATGGTTATGACTATGTTCTTCTCTCTCCTGGCTCTTTTTGTGGTGGGTAAGTTCTCAGGTGCCTTGGGCCACAACTGATTCCCAGAGATCCAGGGGGCATTTCCAAGGGGTCCTCTGGACATTGCTGATCTCTGAAGTAACATTTTACCACCAGCCTAGGCCCAGGCCTGGAGAAAACAGAGCTCATTGTGCCTGGCTCACAAGAACAGAGGCTTTCCAGGGAAACTGTGTGTGCCCTTGGTGCCCTTCCCTCTTTCTAGAACCCTAGCTGGTGTGGGTCATCCTATCATGTCAGGGCTGTGGACTGGCTGACCCAGGAATGGCTATCTCAGCTTCACAGCCTTGGAGACCTGAGAAGAATGAAGATCTTTCTGTCAAAGCCCAGCATGAAGGCGCCAACTATACCGAAGAGGACCCCGACAGTGAGTAGTCGCAGTGAGGACAGGGCCAGGGCAGCTGGGCACTGGGGAGCTGGCACTAGGAGCACAGACCTTGGTTTCCGCTTTTATTCCCATATTCTAGCTCCAGATCCCACCTTCTTCCTGAAAAAAAGATTTTAAGCTTTTTTTCTAATACAGGGTCTCATGAAGTCCAGATTGGCTTCAAATTAATAAGCTAAAGAGGACCTTAAATTTCTGATCCTCCTGCCTCCACCTTTCCAGCGGTAGGATTACAGGTGTGAGACCATGCCCAGATTATGTAGTGCTGAGGACGAAACCCATAACATTGTACAAACTAAGCAAGTATTCTACCAAATAAACTATATTCCCAAACCCAAAATTGCTCTGTTTTTAAGCACAGCTTTTTTGAGGCCCAGTAGATATAAATGCTGGGCACATATTTAAAGCACACACTGACGAATCCCAGTGAAGGAGTGTGCTCAGGAACCCATCTCTACATCAAGGTGAGGGGCCAAGTCACCACCCCTCCGCAGAATTTACTTGTAGCCCCTGGTGATCCCCCACCTCCAATTCCTTCCTGGCTTCAAGCTCAGGTAGTCTCTACCTGTCACGACTAAAGAGCAGTTTATTTATAGAGTTTCATATAAACAGGGGTCAATCATGTTCTCTTTTTGGTCCTTTTTTGGTCATGCGATCTGAAAAAAATATTCTCTGTAGTGCTGGGAATTGAACCCGGGCCAGAGCTTCCGTTTTCTCTCTTCCTTCATGTGCTGCAGCAGGCAGCCAACTCCTCATGCACCTTGTTTTCAGGCCTGCACCCCGTGTGGTCCAACCCCAGAGTCTACGTAGTGCAGGGACCAGCTGGCTTCCTTAGGGTCACTCAGAGCTGTGTGTGGAAGTTTTTCTAATGTATAACGTTGCTGCAACAAATATCATACAGAAGCAACTTAAGGAAGCGTTTATCTTGGCTCACAGTTTGAAGGCATGGTTCATCATGGCCAGAAGGCATGGAAGCAGAGCTTGAGGTAGCTGATCACATTACATCCACAATCAGGAAGCAGAGAGCGGTGGTGCTGGTGCTCAGGTCTTTTTTTTTTTTTTTTTTTTTTTTAATAAATAAGCCTTTCCTTCTTTTTACTAAGTCCAGGACCCCCAGCCCTTGGGATGGTGAAGCCCACATTCAGGGTGGGTCTTTCTGGCTCAGCTAAACCTGTCTGGAAGCTATCTTACAGATACACCCAGAGGTTTGTCTCTGGGTCATTCTAGATCCTTCCAAGTTGACGTGTTAACCATCATAGCCAGGAACATGATGACTTGCCATCTAAACTTCCCTACATAATGGGCCTGGATGGGCACCTCCTGTTTCTTCTTTTCAGCTCATCCCCACTTTGGCAGGGAGGCAGAAATGCAAGAGGCTATGCAGAGGTTTATGAGCTATGTGGAGAATTCTAGCAGCTTGCACAAGGAGATACAGATGCTGAAGTACCGAATGGACAACGCCAGTTCTCAGGTCCAGCTGCTCAGGGGCCATCTGGAGGACGCCAGTGCTGACATCCAGCAGACAAAAGGTGTGCTGAAGGGCTCTGGTGCCTTGGCTTTGGAGACCCAGGCGCTGAGGAACTCCTTGGAGTTGGCCAGTGCTGATATCCATAGTTTGAAAGGAGATTTGGAAAAGACAAATGCTATGACTTCCCAGACCCAGGGTCTCTTAAAGAGCAGCGCGGAAAACACCAGTGCTGAGCTCCACATGCTGGGCAGAGGCCTGGAGGAAGCCCAGTCTGAGATCCAGGCACTGCGGGGAAGTCTGCAGAGTTCCAATGAGCTCAGCTCTCAGACCCGGAGCTTTCTCCAGAGGAGTGTGGACAACACCAGTGCGGAGATCCAGGCCGTGAGGGACCATCTGGCAAGGGCTGGCGAGGAGGTGAACTCATTAAAGAAAGATCTAGAAACAGTCACTGCTCAGACTCAAAAGGCAAACGGCCACCTGGAGCAGACAGATGCCCAGATCCAGATGTTAACGGCTGAGCTGAAAAGCACCCGTTCCTTACACTCCAAGACTGAGGAGGTCAGCAGAGAGACACAGACCATAAGAAGAGGCATGGCTGATGTCTCAGCGCTGAAGTCCAAGGTCCAGGAGCTACAGAGCAGTCTGGAAAAGGCCAAGGCAGAGGTGCAGAGCTTGAAAGCAGATCTGGAGACTACAAAAGCTCTCACTGCCAAGATTCAGAAGGAACAGAGCCGCCTGGAGGCCCTGCAGAGCTCCGCTGCGGCTGCTAGGGAGCAGGAGCAGAAGGCTCAGAGTAAGTGAGGGGTGTGTGTGTGTATCTGGGGAGGGACAGCCTCTGGGTGGGATGATGACCTCTGACCCTTTAGACTCTTTGCTTACCTAAACCTCTGGGGAGGTGGATGGTGTGGAGATGGGATCACATCTAGTGAGATAAGCCAGCTGGAGTAGCCTCAGATGGCTTGTAATCTTACCAGTGTCAAAACAATGCTACACAAGAAAGGCGTAAGGTGAGGAGCAGAGCTGGGGCAAGACTCTCCTGAGCCGCTGCTGTCAGAAGCTGGCGAGACTTTGAACGAGCACGTCCTTGAGCTTTACTGCTCAGCTGTCTGTCATCTCAGTACTCAGGAGCAGAAGCAGGAGGAGCGAGCATGTTCCTGGCTAGCCCAGGCTACATAGTAAGTGTGAGAGCAGCCCAGACTATTTCTCAAAAACAAACAAAGGAGGGTGGCGAGATGGCCCAGCAGTTGGGAACACTGGCTGCTCTCTGCTCAGCTCCCAGCACTCCTCTGGTGGCCCTCAGCAACTCCAGCTTCAGGAGATCCGATGGCGCCAGGCATTCATTTGCTGGGCAGATAGACATGCCAACAGAATATCCAAACATATAAAATGTAAAAAACAAAACAAGTCGGGAGCTCACGCCTGTGATCCCAGCACTCAGGGAGGCAGAGGCAGGCAGATCTCTGTGAGTTTGAGGCCAGCCTGGTCTATAAAGTGAGTCCAGTCCAGCCAAAGCTACACAGAGAAACCTTGTCTCAAAAAAAAAAAAAAAAAAAACACCAACCCAAACCAAACCAAAAAACTCAATAAACAAAGCTAAATGAATTTTTAAAAAGTGGTTGACAAGTGTGATGACACATATCTGTGTTCCCATAGATCAGGAGGTAGAGTCAAGGAGGTTGAGGAGGGTCAGGAGTTCAAGGCCAGCCTCAGGTACACAGTGAGTTTGAGGATGGCCTGGAATACGTAAGATCTTATATTCAAAATGCGGATAACAGGATTGTTTCACAGCCAGATCAAGCAGGCTAACACATATCAAGGCCTTTAACAGTGTGCCAGCACCCAGACATGCAGCTGACACTGTCAGGGGCAGAGAAAACACGCTCCTACCCCCACAACTTGTCGGGCTATGAGGGTAGGCTTGCAAAAAATGACATATTGAGAGAGAGAGAGAGAGAGAGAGAGAGCCCTAGTGGAGGATGTAGCTTGTAGGGAGGTTGGGTGTGGAGGAGCTGGCCACCGGATACCTGGTGAAGCCTCCTCTGGGTGGAATGGTTGGCTGTTCACTGCGGGAAAGAGGCTGCAGGAACCGCAGCGAAGTGGCTTCTGGAGCAGCTGCTGCAGAGCTGACAAGTGGGAGTCGGTGGGAAGTACTGGGGCCTGCTATGTTGTCTGTGTCCTGGGTACATGGGTGCCTGGAAGCCTTCTCTGCTTCCTGCCTCTGCCAGAGCCACCGTTCTCCTCACACACTGGGCTCTCTGCTGCAGCATCAGGGACCGCTGCTTCTCCACTCTGGAGTCCACTATGCTGAGCTCCTCCCTCCAAAAAACATGAAAGTTCAGCTCTGGAACTGAGACCTTTCGGCCTGGGATACAGCGTGGCCTTAGGACTTCAGGGAAAGCTTCAGGTGGTTCTTGTAGCAGCCATGCTTTGAAGGAAAGCATGGCTTTCCTTCCCCCTTTCAGTGTGTGTGGTGTAAGTACACATTACATACGAGTGCGCATGTGCAGAGAGGCCAGATTGTCTCAGTCTCTCTCCACTTGCTCTGTCTGTCCTCTAGCTGTCTGTCTGTATGTGTGTAGGATGGATGGATGGATGGGTAGGTGGATGGATGGATGGATGGGTGGATGGATGGATGGATGGATGGATGGATGGATGGGTAGACGGGTGGATGGATGGGTAGATGGATGGATGGGTGGATGGGTGGATGGATGGATGGATGGATGGGTGGGTGGATGGGTGGATGGATGGATGGATGGATGGGTGGGTGGATGGATGGATGGATGGATGGGTGGATGGGTGGATGGATGGATGGATGGGTGGATGGGTGGATGGATGGATGGATGGGTGGATGGGTGGATGGATGGATGGGTGGATGGATGGGTGGATGGATGGGTGGATGGATGGGTGGATGGATGGATAGATGGATGGATGGGTGGATGGGTGGATGGATGGATAGATGGATGTGTCCACCTATCTGTCTGGGACTACAGAAGAGCCCTGCTGTGCCTGGTCGATGCAGTGCTGTAGCCAGAACTGGGTGCTTTCTGTACGGCAGGCAAGCACTCTGCCCTCTGAGCTGCATCCACAGCCCCCACACCTTATTTTTGGAGACAATGTTTCTCATCAGTTCCGCTAAGCTGACCGTCCAGTGAGCTTCAGAGAGCTGCTGTCTCCACCGTCCAGCACTGAGTGCAGGCACCGTGCAGCACACTGGGCTTCTATGTGGACACTGGCAGTTGAGCTAGACCTCCATGCTCGCACGGCAGGTGCAGCATTAACTGAGGCATCTTCCAAGCCCTCGGACCTTTTCTTCAAGAGCAAATCAGAGAGTATCCGGCTTCTGTTGTAGGGTCTCTATTAGACCTGCTTCCTTCTGCAGTATGGAGGGAGCAGCCATGAGTATCACAGGGCTGTGTTCCAGTAAGACTCTGAGAGCAGTTTGTCCATCCGTGTTTCAACCTCAGACAGTGCCAGAGTCATCGATAGGCCTGGCAGAAGCACGGTACATGCTAACGGGCCAGTCTCCTGACGATGCTGGCACTGCCAGGTGGGGACCACATGTTGAGAATCCCTGCTTCACACACACCATCTCCCACTGAGACGGTGGATCAGAAGGTGAAGTGCTTGGCACCAAGATTGACTTCTGGGTTTGCTCCTCAGAACCCAGATAGTGGGAAAGAAAGAAAGAAAGAAAGAAAGAAAGAAAGAAAGAAAGAAAGAACTCCTGTAGGTCATTCTCTGGCTCCCACATGCATGCTGTGGCCCGTGCATGTGACTCACTTTTGATGAATAAATTTAAAAATGTATGAGGTGCCTTCATCCTGTTCCATCTTCTCAAGTTTGAATGTTCTTACAGAGAACATGGTGTGTATTGGAGTCTGTGGATGGAGATGAAGTCAGGAAGTGAAAGCGGCTACAAGTTGCAGGACTGGAAGCAGACAGAGATGGCTAGTGACAGTCATGAGTGGGCAAGTGTTGTCTGCCAGAAAGCAGGCATCCGCATGGAGTGCTGACGGGTGACAAGCTGAGACTTCCCCGGAGTGACTGGGACGCTTCGGTGGCCTGGAAGGCCACCTCTAGATTATGGCTGTGGGACTGGGGTGTGGGGCCCAGCCCTATCCTGGAGCTGAGTGTTGGCAATTGCGAGGGCTTGACCCGGAACAGCGGAGGCTGGCTTCGTAACAACACTATCCGCTCCTGACTCCTCCCTCGGACCTTTGTTCTAGATGAGCTTCTCCAGCTGATCCTGCAGGGCTGGAAGGTCTTCCAGGGAAGCCTGTATTACTTTTCTCAAGACAAGAAATCGTGGCATGAGGCTGAGAAGTTCTGCGTGACCCAGGGAGCACACCTGGCATCCGTGACCTCTGAGGTGGAGCAGGTCAGAGCTGTGAGCCTGGGGCGGGCTGAAGGGAAGGGTACTGTATCGTTAGGGACACACCAATTTAGGCTCTGTCCTCCTAACGGGTGGTGGAGCCCCACATGTCCCCACTAGGCAAGTGGGGACACCAACAAAGATTGACTGAGTTCCCAAGAGCACTCTGTACTGAGGTGGACACACGGTCAGTTACTGCCACTTGCTCAGGAAAGGAGGAAGACCTCCTAGGAAGGACCAGGGCCAGCTGGAAGGAAAGGAAAAGACACCTGTCCCACTTTTCAAAGTAGGGGATGTTTCTCTCTTGCTTTCCTCAGCTCCTGCCAGCCTTCTTTTCTGAGCATCAGTCTAGATTAAAAGATCCAGTGGCTGATGAAAAAGAGACCCTGGCCCTCTAGGAGCTAGGCTCACTCCTAAACATCTGAAGCCTCTAAAGGAAACACTGTTCTTGAAAGGGCTTGTGCTAGGGGCCCTAAGTGCTGTGGCTCTCCCAGGACCTGCCTGTTCCAGTGCTGCTAAGAACAAACTAGGATGAGGGCTCATGCCCCTTCTCAAGAGTGAGGGCTATTGAAGATGGTCAATATGGGGAAGCTGGGCTTCTGCAGAGGGACCTACCTGCTGCTCTAGGTATTGGACAAGCCATGGAAGGTTCTGGAAGCTCCTGAAATGAGATTGGCTTCCTGTTCAGCGGTCAGGGAAAGAATGCTCTAGAGAACCAGCTCCTCACAACCGTGTCTCCTTTGCACAGGCATTCCTGGCACAGTCCACGAGTACTGTGTACCATTGGATCGGGCTCACTGACAAGGGCACGGAGGGTGACTGGCGCTGGGTAGACGGGACACCATTCGATCGTGCCCTGAGCAATAGGTGAGTCTAACTTCTGTCTAGCACTGTCTGGCATTGACTGTCGCGGTCTTTGGCAGGCTTCACTGTCCTTTGTGCATGATCCTGTCCAGTGAATGCCAGTTGTGTGTCTTTGTGAGTGTTCACATTTGTGTTTGTGTGTGTGTATATGCACTTAGCGTGCACATGTGATATGTGCGTATGGTGTATACGTGCGCTTACACACGTGACGTATGTGAGGTGATACGTGTGACATGTGGTATGTGATGCGCAGTGTCTGCGCTGTGTGATGTGACCCAGGAGACCAACAGAACAGCATCAAGAAAGGACAGGCCCCGGGGCTGGCAGGCCAGTTGTCTTCTGGTCTTTCTGACGTCATCTGTTCATTTGTTGCCGGCCTACTTGGCCCTTGCTCTGTGAAGGAAGGCCTCTGGGGGTTGCATGGTGTGGAGGGCGCTGCAGACGCTGGGTCATCAGTCGCGGGGGGAGGGCACCCTCAGCAGGGCCAGCCTGAGAGCTCCCCCGGTCCCGGTCCTGTCCCCACCCTGAGGTCTTTCTATGCACGGGGAAAGAATCCTGCTCCATCTAGTAGAGTGATGTTGCCTCCTTCCAGGTTTTGGGCAAAAAGACAGCCCGACAACTGGAAACATGAGAATGGAGAGTATGAAGACTGCGTCCACATGCAGAAGCAGTGGAACGACATGAAATGTGGGGCCACCTACCAGTGGGTGTGCAAGAAGTCCACAGGTCAGGCTATGGCCAGCATGGGCCAGAGCTGATCTGCCCTCCCTGGGCCCCAGAGCCTTGAACTCACTTCAGAGCTTCTTCTGTCCTGAGCTGCCCCTTTCAGCCATTTAGAACATGATTGCCCCACACGCTGATGTCTCCTCTGCACCCCAACATGCCTGCCCTGCCGCTCCTCAATAAACACTCAATGAACAGACAGAAACGTGGTCCTCGATTGTCCCCGCGGCTGCCTTCACGCTCACGTCTCCCTGACCGGCCCTCCCTCTCTTGGGTCTTTCTGCTCTGTGGCACACTTTTCTACAGGCTTTGCAGTGACTGTGCAGACAGCAGCAGGGGGTTTACACGGGTCCCAGGGCGTTCCTAAATCACACCAGTGTTCCATGGCTTTCCTTCGGGTGCAGTTGGGGCCCTGCTTCTCTCCCTCGTCCTGCGGGGTCTCTGGTGCCCCCTCATTCATCTCACTGATCTTTGCAGGGATTCTACTTTCTGCTCTCCTTAGGATGAGAACCGCAGTAGCTCTCTGTCGGTGTCTGTGGAACTCCACCCATGCACAAGGAATCATGCAGGTTTCTGCATCTCTCTCTCTCTCTCCTCTCTCTTGATCTTCCTCCTCTGGCCTCTTCATACGCTTCCCTCAAATAGCAATGAGCTCCCTCTCCTCCGCCTGGGTGGAATGCCAAACCTTGGTGAATACTCTCTTCCCTGCTCTGCGGAAGAAGCTTCAGAGAGAAAACCCGGGGCCATAAGCTCCCCACCCGATTCCCAGCTCCTTAACTTGACCCAAAATTTCAGTCTGCTTGTTGTCCGGAATCTGAAAAGAGTTTCCTGTATTAGTGTGATGAGTTTTTGAGTTGTTTTAGCAGCAGGGCGCCTCCAGCTATGACAATGTCCAGAAGAGGAAATCCAGGGCCTGGAGAGACAGCTCAGTAGTTGAGACTGAGCCCTGCTGTTGTAGAGGACACAGTTCAGTTCCCAGCACTCTTATCAGGAAGTTAGCCACTGCCTGTCACCCCCAGCTCCGGAGGCTCCGGTACCCTCGGAGAGTCTCTGCGGGCCCCTGCACAGACCCTTACACAGACGCATGAACTCACACACATCATTAAAATAAATTAAAGATCATGAAAGAAGTGGATCATGTTAGATCTGTTGTTATATTTTTGGCTGAACAGAATTTCAGCTCATTTATACCCATTTTAGCATATTTTTAAAAAATATTTCTCCTCCTCCTTCTCCTCCTTCTTTGTGAATGTGTGTATGTGTCTGTGTAGCCATGGGACCCAGGTGTCTCCATGCTTTATTATTGAAAATTCATACGGTATACTCTGATTATGCTTCTCTTCCTCTATGTTCTCCCAGATCTTCCTCATCTTCTCGCCTATCCAACTCCATACCTTATTTCTCTCTTTCCTTAGAAAACAGGCAAATAAATAAAAACAAGAAAACACTAAAAAAATGGTAAAGCACAAGAAACACACACACACACACACACACACACAGACAGACACACACACACACACACACACACACAGACATACACACAGAGAACAATGAAACCCATAAAACACCAAATTGAAACTCATATATAAGCAAAGACCAGTAAGGTTAAAAACAAAAAACACCCAAAGAAAGCAATATGAGACAAAAAAAAATCTACAAAACCACCGCTGAGTTCTCTGTTGTCCTGGGGCCTGCATGGGTGGGGCCTGCTCTTAGGTGGTTTATAGATCCAACCGGACTCCATCGGGGAAAATTGATTCTTCCTTTGTAAGTGTTGTCAGTTGGAGATAGCTTCTTGCTTAGGCATGGGAGCCTGTGTCCACTCTCTCCTCTCAGTGTTGAACCCGTGCAGGCCCTGTGCATGCTGCCACTGTCTCTGTGTTCATATGAATGTCAGTCTTGTTGTGTCTGGCAGACAGATTCTGCGGTATGATCCATCCCTTCTGCCTCTTACAATCTTTCTTCCTCCTCTCCAGATTGTTCCCTGACTCCAAGGGGAAAGATTGACAGAGATATACTATTTAGGGTTGAGTGTTCCAAGATCCCCCACTCTCTGTGTGCTGGTCAGTTCCGGATCTCTGTATTGGTTCCCATCTACTGCAGGGGGAAGCTTGCCTGTTCGTGGCCGAGCGAGGCACTCATCTCTGAGTAGAGCAGAGTGTTGTCATTTTATTGCTATTTTTCTCAGAACAGCAGGGTTGGCTTCTCACACGAGCAGCGTCAGGCCTAGATTTCATCTCATGGAGTGGGCCTTAAATCCGTGGAGAGGCCGGTCGGCGACACCTGTGTGTTTGGGCACTGCCGCACGAGCGTGTCACTCAGGCAGGCCAGCGCTATAGAGCAAAGGGCTTGCAGCTGGGTTGGTGGTCACCTTTCTCCTCTGGTAGTGTGCAGAGTACCTTTTAGTACCCTAAACATTGGTCAGTATCAGGAAAGACTTTGGTTAGGCACAAGTGCAGCTTCTCTGTGTTCAGTGAGCTATATAAAGGCTGTCTTCAGCAGCAGGGCTTTACCATCAGTGGGTAAAGTTCAATCAATAGCTTTGGCAATTCCATGGGGCTCTTTCCATGAATGGCTAGGGTAGATGAAATCTATTCCTGGCATGGGAAGCTTCATTGGTGGAAAGTTGTCTAGTTGGGGCCTTGTCTCCCTTGTTACTTGGTGACTCCATTTATATGTATGTATTTTAAGCAGCTTCTTTATGTTCCCATATGATGTGATGCCAGGTTCACAGGACCCTCAGAGACCACCAGGAGATGACTCGATGCAATTGCAAGAGAGCTTTATTACAAGAGCGATCGAACTCGGGACCCAAGTCTCACTGGCACAGCAGTAGAGAAGTGGGACCCCGAGCTCTGAGTGAACAGGATTTTTAAAGGGAAAGTCTGTGAGTCGGAGGTTTCCATGGCAGCAAGCAGGGGGGCACAAGCCTTGGCGTTACAGAATTGGGTGAAGTTTAGCAGGGCGGGGTGACCTTTTCTGAGGCACATAATCACAATGGCTAAGGCATATAATCACAATGGCTATTTTTCTAAACCATATCTGAAACATTGGGGAGAATTTT